AAGTGGCAAAGCAATTCTAAGAGGGAAGTTTACAGCAATACCATCTTACCTTAATGAAACAAGGAAAATCTCAAAGGAACAACCTAACCTTACCCCTAAAGCAACTAGGAAGAGAAGAACAAACAAAACCCAAAGCTAACAGAAAGAAACAAATCATAAAGATCAGAGCAGAAATAAATGAAATAGAGATGAAGACAACAAAAGAAAAGATCAATGAAACTAAAACATGGTTCTTTGAGAAAATAAACAAAATTGATAAACCTTTAGCCAGACTCATCAAGAAAAAAAAAGGGAGAGGGCTCAGATCAATAAAATTAGAAATGAAAAAGGAGAAATTACAACAAACACCACAGAAATACAAAGGATCACAAGAGACTATTACAAGCAACTATATGCCAATAAAATGGACAACCTAGAAGAAATGGACAAATTCTTAGAAATGTACAATCTCCAAACAATGAACCAGGAAGAAACAGAAAATATAAACAGACCAATCACAAGTACTGAAATGGAAACTGTGATGTAAAAATTCCCAAGAAACAAAACTCCAGGACCAGATGGCTTCATAGGTGAATTCTATAAAACATTTAGAGAAGAGTTAACACCTATCCTTCTGAAACTATTCCAAAATACTGCACAGGAAGAAACACTCCCAAACTCATTCTATGAGGCCACCATCACCCTGGTACCAAAACCAGAGAAAGATATCAAAAAAAGAAAATTACAGGCCAATATCACTGATGAACATTGATGTAAAAATCCTCAACAAAATACTAGCAAACTGAATCCAACAATACATTAAAAGGATCATACACCAAGATCAAGTAGGATTTATGCAAAGGGATGCAAGGATTTTTAATATCCACAAATCAGTAAGTGTGATACACCAAATTGACAAACCGAAGAATAAAAACCATATGATCACCTCAACAGATGCAGAAAAAGCTTGTGACAAAATTCAACACCCATTTATGATAAAAAAACTCTCCAGAAGGTGGGCATAAAGGGAACATACCTCAACATAATAAAAGGCATTTATGACACACCTACAGCTAACATCATACTCAATGGTGAAAAGCTGAAAGCATTACCTCTAAGATCAGGAACAAGACAAGGGTGTGCACTCTCACCACTTTTATATAACACTGCTGTGTACAGGACTTCCAAAACTATCAGAGAAGATACAAAAAGAATCCAAAATGGAAAAGAAGTAAAACTGTCAACTGTTTGCAGATGACATGATAATATACATAGAAAATCCTAAAGATGCTACCAGAAAACTTACTAGAGCTCATCCATGAATTCAGTAAAGGTGCAGGATACAAAATTAATACACAGAAATCTCTTGCATCCCTATACACTAACAATGAAAGATCAGAAAGAGAAATTAAGGAAACAATCCCATTTACCATTACATCAAAAAGAATAAAATACCTAGGAATAAACCTACGTAAGGAAACAAAAGACCTGTACTCTGAAAACTATAAGGCGCTGATAAAAGAAACTGAAGATGACACCAACAGATGGAAAGATATACCATGTCTCTGGACTGGAAGAATCAATACTGTCAAAATGACTACACTACCCAAGGCAATCTACAGATTCCATGCAATTCGTATCAAATTACCAATGGCATTTTCCACAGAAGTAGAACAAAAAATTTAAAAATTTGTATGGATACACAAAAGATCCCAAATATCCAAAGCAATCTGGAGACTATACTACAAAGCTACAGTAATCAAAACATTATGGTACTGGCACAAAACCAGAAATATAGATCAATGCAACAGGATAGGAAGTCCAGAAATAAACACACCAACCTATGGTCAACTAAACTAGGACAAAGGAGGCAAGACAGTCTCTTGAGTCAATGGTGCTGGGAAAACTGGACAGCTACATGTAAAAGAACGAAATTAGAACACTCTCTAACACCATACACAAAAGTAAACTCAAAATGGATCAAAGACCTAAATGTAAGACCAGATACCATAAAACTCTTAGAAGAAAACATAGGCAGAACACTCTCTGACATAAATTGCAGCGATATCTTTTTTGTTCCACCACCTAGAGTAATAAAAATGAAAATAAAGAAATGGGACCTGATTAAACTTACAAGCTTTTGCACAGCAAAGGAAACCATAAACAAAACAAAAAGACAACCCACAGACGGGGAGAAAATATCTGTAAACAAAGCGACCAACAAGGGATTAATGTCCAAAATATACAAACAGCTCATGCAGTTAATAAAACAAACAAACAAAATAACGCAATCAAAGAATGGGCGGAAGATCTAAATAGACATTTCTCCAAAGAAGATATACAGATGGCCAAGAAGTACATTAAAAGATGCTCAACATAACTAATTATTAGAGAAATGCAAATCAAAACGACAGTGAGGTATCAGCTCACACTGGTCAGAACGGCCATCATTAAAAAAAAAAATCATAAATGCTGGAGAGGATGTGGAGAAAAGGGAACCCTCCTGCACTGTTGGTGGGAATGAAAGTTGGTACAACCATTATGGAGAACAGTATGGAGGTTCCTTAAAAAACTAAAAATAGAACTACCATATGATCCAGCAATCCCACTTCCTGGGCACATATCCAGAGAAAACCATAATTTGAAAAGATACATGTACCCCAACGTTCACTGCAGCACTATTTGCAATAGCCAAGACATGGAAGCAACCTAAATGCCCAAGAGAGGAATGGATAAAGAAGATGTGGTACATATATATAAAGGAATATTACTCAGCCATAAAAGGAAAGAATTAATGCCATTTGCAGCAACATGGATGGACTTAGAGACGATCATACTAAGTGAAATCAGAGAGAGAAAGAGAAGACTCACATGATATCACTTATATGTGGAATCTAATAAAAAAATGATACAAATGAACTTATTTACAAAATCTCGAAATCACTTACGGTTACCAAAGGGGAAACATGGGGGTAGTGATAAATTAGGAGATTGGGATTAACATAAACACACTACTATATATAAAATAGATAAGTAACAAGGACCTACTGTGTAGCACAGGGAACTCTACTCAACACTCTGTAATATATGGGAAAAGAATCTGAAAAAGAATGGATATATATGTATATATAACTGATTCACTTGGCTGTACACCTGAAACTTACACAACATTTTAAAGCAACTATACTCCAATAAAAGTTAAAAAAAAAAGACAGAAATAATTGGATGTTTAAGGGGGAAAAAAGAAACATATTTTCAGCCATCTTTAATGACCATCATTCAGTAATAATAGAGACTTTTCATTTGGTTTTTCAGGTGTCTGGGAATCAAGATACTCGTAACCAGTTTAAGGTCCAATTTGGCTGAAGAAATAATTATGCATGTCTGTATAGGAAAAATTCAATTTTCTGTTACCCCCACCCCACCCATTTTCTCTTGCAGTGAGTTGAAGTGTGTTGGGAGTTCTGTGGAGGATTATCTTGAGTTCTTATAGTCTGGAAACAGAATCTTAGACCTAAGGATAATATATATTTGTTATCCTTTAAAATAAATCTGAGTCTCAGATAATAAGTGTTGTCTAGGGACTTCCTACTATTTCTTCTTTTCTTTTTTTTCCTTTTTAAAATCATCTTTAGCTGGTTGCCAAAAGCTGCTGAGAACTTTCTGTATAACACATCATCCTCGTGGAGAGTAAGAGTAAATTGTGGGGCTTCCCTGGTGGCACAGTGCTTGAGTCTGCCTGCTGATGCAGGGGACGCGGGTTCGTGCCCCAGTCCGGGAGGATCCCACGTGCCGCGGAGCGGCTGGGCCTGTGGGCCATGGCCGCTGAGCCTGCGCGTCCGGAGCCTGTGCTCCCCAATGGGAGAGGCCACAACAATGAGAGGCCTGCGTACCACCAAAAAAAAAAGAGTAAATTGTGGTTCAGATATTTTATTCAGTCGCTAAGAGATGATCTTTGATAGGTTCCAGATGTATTGTACAAATATGTACTATAAAAATAAAAGATTGATAGCTCCCCCCCAAAAATATTGGTTCCACTTTTTTAAAATGAAAGAAAACAAAGAAAAGCACACACCAAAAGTTTTCACTTTGCTAGTCCTTTGGTTCTAGTTGAATACAATTTTGCCAGTACAAAGTAGATTATAAAAATCAAATAATTGAAATATTAATCAAACTAACCCAAAGCATACCAAATCCATAGGTTTCACAGTTTATTTAAAAGTCATTATCCAAATATGTTTCACTGTTATGGAATATTAAAAATTTAACATATATCTACTTACTCCTGGTCTCTTACTTCTAAGTAGTAAGATCATTTCCAAAAAATGGAAATGACAGTATATGTTACCTTTTAAATTAAAAACTGTTCAACAGTAAACAACTGGAAGCAAACTAAAGACACATCAAAAGGAAATTAAATAACTTATGGTTATTCCTTAAACAATTTATGGTTCATCTCTAGACACTGGAATACTATGCAGCCATAAACAAGAGTAAGACAACTTATCACATATTGATTTAGAATGATCTGTAAGACGTGAAGAAAAAAGCAGGATACACAATAGTGTATAAATACACTACTTTTTTAAAACAGATGGGAGGGAGAAAGAATTACATATATACTATAGTTGCTTATATATGTATTGCATATTTACTATAGTTGCTTATATAGGTAACAAAGATCCCTGGAAATAAAAATAAGAAATGAAACTAGGGAGGGGAACAGTGTGGTTGGCATAGCAGTCCAAAGACTTTTTACTGAATACTTGTTTCTGAATACTTTTACTCCATAGGTTTCAGTTTAGAACCATGTAAAGACATGACCTATTCACAAATAAAAATTTAACAACTTGAAAGCTTAAATAAAAAGTGTCTGTAACACTGCTTGCTATTTTAGGGTATCTATGATTTTTCTTAGGATGGTAAGATACTGCTTTTCCTTTTTCCTTGAGGAAAGAATACAGCCTCATGTGCCATGACCCAGTCTTATTTTAGAAACAGGTTTCAAGTACTGTACTTACAGTTCCGCCCATGTGAAGAGGCAGGTATTCTACACTGACATAGTCTTGGATGTCATTTTTACTTGTAAACTTCAACAAACTCACTGCTTCTGGACCAAGCCAGGATTTCACAATTTTGAAAGCAGCTGAAGAAAAAACAGTCACTTCATTAAATTCCTTTCATTCTCTTTCTCGATTTACTTACTGTACGTGCTAACCCACGTCCTCTGAAATTAGTTCAGCCTAAAATCTGTTAATATGTATTTTTCCATGGCACAGTACTTAATTCACATTCTCTAATCTCTGTAGGCATCTACATTTTGACGGTCCCTTGTGGGTTTCAAATGTTCCAGGAAGATTCAGGAAGATTAACTTATCCTGATGTTCATTAATAAACCTATCAGGGTTTTGGCCTCTGTACAAATCCATCAATGATCCCAACTACTAAGATTTCCAGACAATGAATCAAACAGCATTGTGATTCACTAACATGTATGAGAAGAGTCGTTTGCCTTATGCCTCTCTGATAAACCCCCAATCTGAAAAACCTTCTCAATGAGAAGTCAGGAAAAGAAAAAAGCAGGCTTCCTCATTATGCGTGAGCCAGACCCAGACTTTCCATCCTAAGCCTGAATGTCTGTGCCTTTCTCCCAAGCCCTGCAGCTTAGAACTGTGACGATCTTACAGAATCTGCAAGAATAAACTGTTATCAAACACAGCTGTTTAGTAATTACAATTTTGTTCTGTCATGCCATTCTGATTTACTTAAACTTTTAAACCTCGTTTCCATCATGACTTTCTAAGCACATTTTAAAGGAATTAAAAGAGAAATCCAGCATTACATTTTCAGAAGTGTCAATGAAAAAAAATCAGGAAATAAAACCGCATGATAAAGATTAAACAGTGGTTCAGAAAATTGCCTTTTTACTTTGGCTAATTGTGCTTAAAATTTTTTTACATAACATTTACATTTTCATTAATTTCAATTTAAAAAGTCTGAGTTGACATGTTTGAAGCTATGCTACTTGAATTAACTGAAGTGCAAAATCTGACTTTTTATAACAGCTTTATGGAGATAAAACTTACATACCATGAAATTCACCCTTTTAAAGTATACACATCAAGGTTTTTTATTTAGTATATTCACAGAGTTGTGTAACCCATCACCACTATATAATTTTAGAACACTGTCATCACACCGAAAAGAAATCTGCCCCCACTGGACTGGCAATCTCTCCTTATCCTCCCTTCTCCCATTCCCTGGCAACCACTAATCTAGTTTCTGTCTTTATGGATTTGCCCATTTTGTATAAATGGAATCATGCAACATGTGTTTTTTTCCATACTGGCTTTGTTCACTCAGCATGTTGAGGTTCATCTATGATGTAGCATGTATCAATATTTAATTCCTTTTTATGGCTGAATAACTTTCCATTTTATGGATATGTAACATTTGTTTATCCATTTATCAATTGATGAACTTTGGATTGTTTCCACTTTTCACTATTATGAATAATGCTACCAAGAACATTTGTGTACAACTCTTTGTGTAGACACGTTTTCAGTTCTCTTGGGGATATACCTAGGAGTGGAACTGCTGGGTCATATGGTAATTCTATGTTTAATGTTTTCAGGAACTGCCAAACTGTTTTTCCACAGTGGCTGCGCCATTTAACATTCTCACCAGCAATGTATGAGGGCTCCAATTTCTCCACATCATTACCAACACTTGTTACTTTAGTCTTTTTGATTGCAGCCATCCTAGCAGGTGTGAAGTAGTATCTCATTCGGTTTTTACTTGCATTTCTCTAATGACTAATGATGTTGAGCATCTTTTATGTATTTATTGCCCATTTGCATATCTTCTTTGGAGAAATGTCTATTAAAATCTTTCACCCTTTTTAATTTGGCCATTTGTCATTTTACTGTTGCATTATAAAAGTTATTTATGTATTCTAGACCTAAGTCCCTCATCAGATGTCTTATTTGTAAATATTTTCTTCCATTCTGAGAGCTGTCTTTTTACCTTCTTGATGGTGTCCCTTGAGGTACACAAGTTTTCAATTTTAATGAAGTACAATGTATCTATTCTGTTGCTTGTGCTTTCTTGGTGTCATACCTAAGAAACCACTGCCTACTCCAAAGTCATACAGATTTACTCCTATGTTTTTTTCTAAGAGTTTTATAATTTTAACTCTGACCCATTTTGAGTTAATTTTTGTATATGATGGAAGGTAGAGGTCCAACTTCATTCTTTTGAATGTGGATATTCGGTTGTCCCAGTACCATTTATTAAAAAGACTAATCTTTCTCCACCTAATTGTCTGGGCACCATTGTTAACAAATCAATTAATCATAAATGTTAGGGTTTATTTCTGGACTTTCAATTCTGTTTTACTGATCTATGTGTCTATTCTGATGTCCACACCACAACATCTTAATTATTATAGCTTTGTAGTGAGTTTTAAAACCAAGAGGTACAGGACCTCCCTGGTGGTCCAGTCGTTAAGAACCTATCTTGCAATGCAAGGGACGCTGGTTCAACCCCTGGTTAGGGAACTAAGATCCCACATGCTGTGGGGCGACTAAGCCCACACATCACAACTAGAGAGCCCGTATGCCGCAACTACAAAGCCCATGTGCTCTGGAGCCGGCGCGCCACAACGAGAGAGAAGCCTGTGCACTGCAACAAAGAGCCAGCGCACTGCAATGAGAACAAAAGATCCTGTGTGCCTCAACTAAGACCCAATCCAGCCAAAAAAAAAAAAAAAAAAAAAAAAAAAAAAAAATCAAGAGGTGTGAGTCCTTCCATTTCACTGTTCTTTTCCAAGATTATTTTTACTACTCTGGGTCTCTTGCATTTCCATATGAATTTAAGGACAAACTTGTCAATTTCTGTAAAAAAAAAAAAAAAAAAAAATCAAGAGGTGTGAGTCCTTCCATTTCACTGTTCTTTTCCAAGATTATTTTTACTACTCTGGGTCTCTTGCATTTCCATATGAATTTAAGGACAAACTTGTCAATTTCTGTAAAAAAAAAAAAAAAAAAAACTGGGGGAGGCAGCTGGGATTTTGACAGGGACTGCATTGAATCTTAGCAATATTAGGTCTTCTAATCTATTAACAAGAGATGAGTATTTACTTAGGTCTTGCATTTCCTTCGATGGTGTTTTGTAGTTTTCAGCATGAGTCTTCAACTTCTTTTATTATTTCTAAGTATTTTGTTCTTTGTGATGCTATTATAAATGGAATTGTTTAATTTCATTTTTGCATTATTGATTGCCAGTGTACAGAAATACAACTGGTTTTGTGTATTGACTTTGTATCCTGCCACCTTGCTGAACTCATTTATTAGTTCTAATAGGCTTTTGTGTGTGTGTATTCCTTAAAATTTTCCATACAGAAGATGTCACCTGCATATATAGATAGTATGACTTCTTCTTTTCCAATCTGGATGCTTTTTATTTCTTTTTCTTGCCAAAGTGCCCTGGCAATGTAAGTGGTAAGAGCTGACAACCTTATCTTGTTCCTGATCTTAGGGGGGAAAATATTCATTCTTTTACTGCTAAGTATGATGTTAGCCGTGGGTTTTCATAGATGTTGGTTTTACGTCGATGCCTTTTATCGGGGTGAGGAAATCCTCTTCTGTGAAAAATTAACTTTACCCAAAGAAAGGTCTGGCCTTTACCCTCAGCTTCTGGAGGTAAACTTCATGCCCGTTGGAGTGTCTTTGTTTGCCTAGGGACCCCGAGTCACACTGGAACAATACAATTTAGGGTGGGGGCTTTGGGTCACACAGTATCTGTAGACCTCTGGAGAGACTGGAGACTGAGATGAACCATGTGATAAACTGGTCAGGCCTAGGAAATGGAGCCCCAATAAAAACTCTGAACACTGAGGTTTGGGTGAGCTTCCCTGTTTGAAAATACTTCATGAGCACCGTCACATACTGACGGGAAAGTAACACACTCCACACTTGGTACTTCCCTGGATTCTACCATATGTTTTTTTTTTTAACCCTTGGCTGATTTTAATCTGAATTGTTTCCTGGTAATAAACCATAACTGTGAATACAATAGCTTTCAGTGAGTTCTGTGAATGATTCCAGTAAACCTGAGGGTAGTTTTGGAAACCCCTTGAACTTACAATTAGCGTCATAAGTGAGGGTAGTGTTGTGTGAACTACTGTGATCCAACTAACTTTGCAGTTGTTCCAACTCTTTGAACCTTCTATTCCTAGTTTCTTGGGTGCTTTTATCAGGAGCATGTAGTGGATTTTGTCAAATACTTTTTGTGTCTATTAAGATGATCAGGTGGTTTTTTTTCTTTAGTCTATTAATATGTTGGATAACTGGTTGATTTTCATATGTTGAACCAACTTTGCATTTCTGAGATAAATCCCACTTGATCACAGTATATAATCCTTTTTATATGCTGCTAGATTCAGTTTGTTACTTTATTGAGGGCTGGTCCATTTATATTCATAAGGGATATTAGTCTGATATTAGTTTTCTTTTTCTGTGATGTTTATTATTAGGGATATACTTGCCTCATAAAATGAGTTGGGAAGTGTTTTCTATTTTTTGGAAGAGTTTGAGAAGAACTGGTGTTGATTCTTCTGTATATGTTTAGTAGAATTTACTAGTGAAGCCATTTGGGGTCTTAGCTTTTCTTTGTGAGAAGTTTTTTGATTACTAATTCAATTTCTTTTGTTATACTTCTATTCAGAATCTTGAGTCCATTTCGATAGTTTGTGTCTCTCTAGGAACTTGCCCATTTCATCTAGGTTATCTAATTTCTTGGCACACAACTGTTCACAGTATTCCCTTATAATCCTTTACATTTCTGTAAGGTCAGTAGTAATGTCTCTTCTTTCATTCCTGATTTTAATAATGAGTCTTTTTTTCTTCATCAGTTTAGCTAAAGTTCTGTCAATTTTGTTGAACTTTTCAAAGAACCGAGTTTTGATTTCATTGTTTTTCTCTACTGCTTTCTATGTTAACAACTGATTGGCAAACACGAATGAAAATGCACATTCCGAAAATAACACTAAATTTATAACCACATCCGAGTTGGTAAAGAATGTTTTTCAATGGTTTAAATTTTTTTTTCTTTTGCCAAATATATATACCATGACTGTCCTAAGGATTATGTGACTACAGAGATTTGAACTAAATTTTAGATTCATCCCATTTTCTTCCTCAACACCTGAAGCCCATGAGAGAACCTAGCCAAGGTCTGCATTCTGTGACATATCCCATCTGTAGATGACAAACAGGCTTCTGGCTATAGTTTTACCTGAATGACTGAACATTTTAAAACTGTTTTTAGACAAGACTAATGGGTATCCCCAGAGCCTGGGGGTACAACGCTGGCCCAGGTTGCTTAGGAACAGCCTTTGCGTGTTCTAGCTCCAGCCTCTTAAAATTACACACCAAACACAATAACATTCTTTTTTAAACAACCATAGAAATACGGCTAAATTGGCAAAGAAAAAAAAATCAGACATTTTATGTTAGGAAAGTATAAGTAATATACTCACCGTTCATTATCCAAGGCATATCAAAGATCACCATTTTTGCTGAAAGATTAAAAAAAAATTCATTGTCGACTTTGTACCACAATAGTAGTCACTTATACCTGGCCTAAAAAAAACTAGTGACCTAAATATATCTAAAAACTGAGATGGATGACTCAGTTTTAATTCCATAAAGTGTGAGTGGTGCTAGAACTAAACTGACTTCTCACAATAGTGAGGGGCTCACCTAGGAGGATGGCTTGTGTGAAATGAATAATGTACTATCACTGCCCTTTGGCAAATAGTGTGTTCTTTTATTCATTTATCGCTTTTGTTGTTTGCAGAAAGGTACCAAACAAAATAGTAAGTGGGTAAGTGGAAACTCTGGCTGTGGCATGTCATATTAGTGCTAAAGTCCACTGAGCTTTAAAATGATTTCAGTGTCTAATTTATGGCTTCAATTCTAGTTTTCTAGATATTATATTGTTAAACCCACTCTGACAGCTGCCCCATTTTTAATAAATCATTGTGTTTTAGGAAACAAAAATGATTTCAACTTTTCTTAATATTATGAGCCTCAGGAAGCCAATAATCCCAAAGTATACAGAAATTTTATTTGTATACTTAGATGAAGATATTAAGCAGCCCTATTAACAACTGTGAGAAAGAATCAGAACCCACAGAGGGGATTTTTGATAACAAATTCATTCTTCTGTTCCAGATGAATCAAAACATAATTTCATTCTTCCCTGAACAGAGAACTTCCTAGAATGATTATATTAATGTAGGACAAATAATGCACATGTAAGGAACAAGGTACTTGCAAAGAGGTACCCTGGTGCTCAATACGTCAGTCTTCATCTGAGATATGCCTAAAAAGATTTTGACTCAAGATTTTAAGAATATTATATTTCATGACAAATTTTGAAACATGATCAACCTAAGATTCTATAAAATTCAATGTGGGCTTCCCTGGTGGCGCAGTGGTTGGGAGTCCGCCTGCCGATGCAGGGGACATGGGTTCGTGCCCCGGTCCGGGAGGATCCCACATGCCGTGGAGCAGCTGGGCCCGTGAGCCATGGCCGCTGAGCCTGCGCATCCGGAGCCTGTGCTCCGCAACGGGAGATGCCACAACAGTGAGAGGCCCGTGTACCGCAAAAAAAAAAAAAAAAAAAAAATTCAATGTCTGCAAAACATTATGTAGCTAGAATAAATACATTATCTCTAGTTATTTGGAATGACAGTGTTCAGTTCATCTTTATATACACCCATGAATTTATTAATAGTTTTCTCAAAAGAATCTTAGATGTGTTTTATAAAGTAATAGTAATATTTATGTTCTTTATAAATAGCTCTTCACAAACCCCTTTGGATATTTCAATAAACAAGTGGATATTTTATTTTCATTTTGTACATGAAAGAAAAAATCTAATAATACAGGGCAGTGATTCCCTACTGACCAATGACTGGCACCACTCAGCAAGTCTTAATGAATCAGGGTCTATGCCAGATCCAGGAAGAATTCAGAAGGAACAGCAGATCCTACAGGTTCCCCAAACTAGACATTCTTTTTACCTAAAAATGTTCATCGACACTCTCTCTGAAGACATGAGAGCACAGGGCTAGGAGTGGCAATGATCCTCGATATCCACCATGCTTTCTGTCTGTTTCTCACATCACATTAACACTAATGTGAAAGCACATCAAAATAAAATGACTTAGGCATTTCATGCTTTAGTGTCACCTGAGTCACAAGTCCCCAAAGACACTAATTGTGGTATTTGCCAGGGGTGTGCCCAGGCAGACCTGTGAGTTTCCATTTCTGATGTCCCTGTTGCCTCTCTTCTGTCTCTTCACTTTCAACCCACTGGGGTTTTTAAAAATATTTGACTGTTTATGTGGAATGGCATCTTGATTTCCCTAGGGGGAAGCCATCATGTAAATCTATTAAGTCAAAAATGAATATATAATATTTAGGAGTTCTTCATTCAGGTAATTAATAGAAGAGTCACAATTAAAAACAAACTCCAAATGCCAGATTCAAATGTTGTGAACACTAGTCAAGTGTTTTCTTAATGACAATTTAAAAAAAGCAACTAGAAACACAATGTACTTTATGTATGAGTATTGCTTATCACACAGTATACTTTACTTACCAATACTGCTCATCTGTTTCTTGCATGTAAGAAGTTCCAAATAATATTTAAAATTAATTTCTCAATTGAAACATTAGTAAAAATGGGATGATCTTGGAAATAAATGTATGTTTTTACATCTGTGTGTGTGTGTGTGTGTGTGTGTGTGTGTGTGACAGGATGGCATATACACAGATTATAACTTGAACTCTTAAAACTAACTGTAAAGGACAATGATTATTTATGAAAAATTTCTCCTATACCTACTAGGATATGTACTTCAACTTCTAGAACATATTTAAGCTCTTCACCAGAAAACAATGTCCCAGGTATTAAAGTCTAAAATAATACAAAGCTCCACAATTCTTAGACACTGTCTACGGTTTTGCTATATTGTATTTTTATAAAAGAGGAAGCTACTTACAGAGGTATTTAGGGTAATAAACCTTAAAGCAGTTGATGATGAAGCGTACAAAGTCCATGTCCTAAAAGAAAGATTATACATTTAAATCTTTAAGACTGTCCACATTAGAGAATTTTAGATTGCATATTTCTAAAGGTGATAAATTATTAAATATAAATGAGGCAATTATTAAATTCTTTAAAAAATAGTTCATAAATAAATATTTATATTCCCAGGAGTTAGTTTTTAAGTCATTAAGCTACTTATAATAATCAGTCCTAAAACGGAGTTAAAGAAATTAGCTTAAACGTCATTCATGTTACCCCAGACTAGTGAGATACTTCAGGCTGCTAAGGTAATGTGGCATTATAAAACGGATCTAAAGAGGAACCCCCGGGCTTCCATGGTGGCGCAGTGGTTGAGAGTCCGCCTGCCGAGGCAGGGGACACGGGTTTGTGCCCCGGTCTGGGAAGATCCCACATGCCGCGGAGCGGCTGGGCCCGTGAGCCACGGCCGCTGAGCCTGCGCGTCCGGAGCCTGTGCTCCGCAACGGGAGAGGCCACAACAGTGAGAAGCCCACGTACCTCAAAAAAATAAATAAATAAAAAATAAAGAGGAATCCCCGTAAAGAAATTCTAAACAACTGTCGAACAATTAAAGGATTATTAGAACAAGTATATAGTTTTCAACCTGACTACTTGGAACGACAATATATATGGCATGTTAATTCTGATATGTTTGTTTTTTAAACCTAATTTCTATACCTCATAATAGTCAATAAAATATATTTTATTAATCTTTTATACAACAGTTAATCTGATCATATTGGCCTGCTGTATCTACTTCACTTCTAGCTTCTTTCCTCTTGTGTAGGAGCCTAGAATAAGAATTAGAGTTTTTTCGTTTATATTTAAATGTTGTTCATTGACTTCAATTTCTAGGAGACACAGCTGACTATTGGTTCTACTGCACTGAACACAGCAACATGAAACTAGATTATTAGGGTTACTATTCACATGGATCATTTCATTCCATGTGTTTCCACTGGCCACAGGCTGACTTACTGATCAGCCATCTTATAAGGACTGTAGGATGAAAGATACAAACAGACAAACTTAAATCCATCAGTTACTCAAAGGTGAGCTGCCCTAGAGACCTGAGTCTATAAAGTTATTCCTAGCATGTGAGTTGTAGCATCTTTAACGCTAATAAACTGAAAATAAGCATCCATAACTATATTACGTATTTATTATGGTATAAATCCTAGCATATAATAATACCTTTATAACTAATCATTATATCCACTGTGCACAGAGTTGAATAATCTGTAGTTAAGTAAGAGTCAAAGAAGGTATCTCAAAATAACTAGTTATGTTAAGATTTGGTTACCTAGTATATGACCTGTGGCCTCCAGACTTTGCCCCAAAAGTCTCTGTCCAATATTCTTTTCATCTTTAATTGAATAACCTTGCTTATAAAATCCCAAATTACTGCTAATTCAAGTCTATTTGATAGGATGCCACTGGTGTACGTGTATTAGTGGGTACTACATAAAGAAGCTCCATGAAACCCACTGCTCTGCATTCTGTGAGGATGTTTTCAAGGATGCTATTCATTATCTTGTAAAATGTCTTCCCTTTGAAGACCCATGAAAGACTTCTCTGGACTTCCCTGGCTGTTCAGTGGTTAAGACTCCACGCTTCCAATGCAGGGAGTGCGGGTTTGATCCCTGGTAGGGGAACTAAGATTCCACATGCGTGCAGCCAAAAAATAAATAAAAAATAAATAAATAAATATATTTTTTAAATTAAAGAATAAAACTTGGAAAGAAAAAAAGAAAGACTTTTCTTCTGGTTCAAGTATCAGCAATAGATAAACTTCTCCTGAAATGCTGGTTTTAAAGTATGTCCACTGAGTTATTTTATTTGTCTTATCTTTACTGGAGTATAATTGCTTTATGATGTTGTGTTCACTGAGTAATTTTAAATGATTCCATTTCTTTCAGGCAAGCTTAAAGCCAAATTAGTGGCCTAACTCTAGTAAATAATTTAAATTTTGACTTGCAATTATGTATACATCTTTAAAGGTTGGCTTAAATCTTTTCTGAATTACGAGGGTCATGTATAAACATAATTCAGTAAGATTCTAGTATTTGAAAACATTAATGATTTAACTACTTAGTAATGCAAATAAACTTTATAAATTAAAGATAATGAAATAGTATATAAGTAGCTTGAAAAATAATCAGCTCAATTCCTTGCCCCTGTATTTGTCAATAAAAAACATTAACATTTATTTTTTATGATTCTGGATTAATAATTAGAAAACTATCATACATAAAGGATAACAGAATCATAATTTTTTATTATGCAATATTTATTTATCTAGGCATTTTGATTTAGATTTTGGGTATAAAATGGTTTACTCTGTAATCTAGAACTCATTGACATGGAAACTAGATTGAAAAAATAATCCAGGGCAAATGACTCTTAGAGACAAAGAAAGATGAAAAACAACTTGTAGTCCCACTGCCTAAAAAAACTCCAGCCTGTTTTTGTTTGTTTGTTTGTTTAATGTCTAAGGCTTCCCTTTTGGGGGCTATGTATCACTATGATATAACCCTGTCGCCCTTTTCTCTTAAAAAGAAAGCTATTTTCCAATATTACTACAAATTCTTTACAAACACCATTTTACATAGCTACACATACTCCATCAATGAGATACACCATAATTCACTTCACTGTATTGACATTTACATTTTTTCTACTTTTTCACCATTTTAAATGACACTCTGAAAAAACATTTTGATGTACACTTTTTCTATACTCAGGTTTATTTCTTTAGAATAGATTTCCAGAAGTTAGTTACCAGGCAAAGAGTATGAATACGAACACTTCAGGGATATTAACATACTTTGCCAACTGGATTTTGAAAAAGATTTCAACACTGCCCCAAGGCATGTCTCCGAACACCACTTCACTGCTACCAGAATTAGCCCAGCTTTGAGCGTTAGAGACAACAGCTCTAATAAATGCGCCAACAAATCTCCAACACTGCTGAAGGGTTTGTAGTTAGCACTAAGGTCACAAGGGCCCAAATTAAAGACTAGTAGGTTTTATTTATTTTTTAAGCTTGGCAAAATCACCTGAAGTAAACTGGTTTCCAAAGCTAACCAAATCAAACAGAAAGTGAACCTAAATGAGCAAACGAAAAACCTCAACAAAATCACAAAGTGCTGGATGTGCAAAAATGCAGGTGAACATCTCGCCACTGCAAAACATGGCATGCGGGTAATGGTACGCTGGAGAGCATACATTACTGTACTCCACATTTCCTGAGTGCATTACTCTGCGCCAGGCACAGGGGAGGTGCTGTATAGGGTATTATTAGCTCTGATAGAAAAGTTCACTGTTACCACATCTACTCATTACCCTCCCAACCTCGACGTCTTCCTTCCATATCCTGTGTATCAGACAAGGAACATTTCTAGGAAATCTACAGTTTCAATGCCAAATACTGAAGCACATTTAATTTTTTGCAAATCCTATTCCACGTTTGACTTCACTCACAATGCAGGGGGTGGAAATAAATCCCAAACATGACTTGGTTAGCTCTATTTTACAGGACTACTTGGTCAAGGGGGTAGTGGCAGGGAGGACAGGAGAGAGGGAGGATGCCATGATAAACAATGATTTAGAATTAATGAAAAATGCTTACTATGCTATTTATTCCAGTCTCTGACAGGTCAAACATCACTGTTACAGGTTTCCCATTTTCTCTCTTAGCGTACCGCTCCAACCAGAACGCAATAAGCTTCTTTTTGTCCAATATGGTCTTCTGGTCTTTTACATGGTACTTCACCCTGATCCAGACTTTAAGCAGGTCATAAGATAAAAATAAGAAAAAATATTTACGGCATTATAATATTACTTATGCATATATTATATCATTCCTTTTCCTTGACATTTGTCTTTATTTTGTTTCTCAGATTAAAAACATCTCTTCGAAATAGTATATACTTGGGAACCTTAAAGAGTAGCAGAAAGGTAAACTATTTCCCCCCCTTAGAAAATACACTTCCCCCCTTAGTAAGTAAGGGAAAAAACAGTATTTGGTAATAACCTAAAAGTACTCTACACTGTGCTTAACAAAAAACAGAGCACTAGAAAAATGTTCCATCCAGAGGAAAAGCCAGACGGAAGCACGATGGCAGCATGAGCGGGTGTCGTGTGTGGGGACAGAGCCTGGCAACCGTTCAGAGTGGTGGCAGCTAGGACAAAATGTGACGAGTGGTGAGAGGAGCAGCTAAACAGAGAGACAGGCGGGGCTTGAAGGACTCTGCATGAAATGCTAAGGGGGTAGGGGTTGGGAGTGAACTGAGGAAGTGCTACTGAAATCGGAGGAGGGGCTAAAGTGAAGCTCTGTCAGAGGAAGAGCCGATGGCTGTGGGCCCGAGCTGGGAGTACAGGGAGGTCGGGTGGTGGGACGCATGTGGTTCAGCTGTGTGTTGTATTGGAGGTGGCCAACCATCAATCCGGTGGGCAGCTGGATGTGTACATGCATGTGGCCTGGGGACAGCCTGGGGTCACCGCTGTTGGGGGGAAGGCAGCTGAAGGTGCCAACGTACTTGAGATCACCCAAGGAGACTGCATCAGCTGGAAAGGAAAAGAGGCCAAGAAAGGAACAAAGCCTGGGAAGCACATGTGAGATACAGGTGGAATAAGAGGAATGGGAAAGGAAGATTGAGGGGGGAGCCAGCAATGGGAGGAAAACGCTACGAGAGCACTGTTACAACAGGAGCCGACCACGGGCCACACACAGGGTGCGCAAGGCAGGCACGAAGGTGCAGCAAACTGCCTTGGCAGGACATCTGCTCAGGATGGGGCTCTGACACTCCTGCTGAGTCCCAGCATTGGTACAAACCAAGTTATTCCTCTGTCCCCTTTGCCCAAAATTCGGCTTGGCCCATTTAGCCACCCTTAGTGACTATCAAAAAGATTTTCCATAAAGATACTGGGTTGAATTTTAACATCAGTAAATTAGAAAGAAGATAATGACTCTGAGTTACATCATTTTGCCTGTGTGATGGGATGTGGCATTTGCCTTTACAGCCTACTTTATTATAATGCAAACGGTACATTCAACTACTATGTGACGCTTGGTCCAGCTGGCCCTAACAATCCCTATTGTAGGAAACCTGATGTGTGGTACATACGTAGAAAGCTCTGCCTATTATTAATTCAGTTGAGATGGATGGCTACATCTCAAAATCCTGAAAAACCAGTACATACATTATACTTACACAACTTGTTGCCTTCTTTGTCATAACCGTGGAGATAAATACCACCAATTTCCAATAACCACCTGGGAATGGAGGCTTCAGTCAGGTCTAAAAAGTGATAAAGTTTGATGAGTAATTGTAACTTAGATGCCTTTTAAAAACAAAACTTACAACATAAAGGTTACTGTTAATATAGTAGCTCTGACATAAAAAAAGATAAATTAAAAAAAGAAAAAGCTTATGCAAACATCTGGAAAGAACCTCTGACGATAAAAAATGGTGTTTCTTACTAAGTAGAAAAAAAACTACATAAAGACACAGATGACAGAAATGGAAAAAATCCATTTCATCTTACATATCGGCCATTATGACGTGGACACATCTCCATGTTCTAGTTGTATTCCACATAATGACTTGCAAACAAATATTATGATTGGACAATTTCAAAAGAACATGGCAGTAAATATCCACATTATAGCCTCAGACGTGGTATAAGAAATCAAAGTTTGATAACCAGTAGAGTCTAATACATTTATAATCTTGGGGCAGGTGGGAAATACTTCAAAAAAAATGCTACATCCTTCAGCAGGGGGTCCACTCCCCAGTGAGGCCG